ATCGGTAACTTCAAATTTCAGACAAAGAAGGCTTAACGAAGTAAATTGCATGAAATATTATTCGCCACTCATTAAAGTAACAGGGTCAAACTGTGGAGAAAATTTCCTGAGATTATTGGTCATCGACTTTTCAAAAGAGGAGCAGAACTGTACAGTGCATCAAATGGGGGAGTTCGGATTACCATTTCTTTCCTCGAAGGTCGTCTTGCTTAGGTCACGTTCAAAGTCTTGGCAGATGTTAGCAAATTACACAGCCGGTATGCCGGTAGAAAAAGTGCAGTTTTCGTCCCTCCAGACAAATGTAAAACAGAGTGCTTTATGGCTCGCAGTGGTTCATCCTTTTGCTCCGCTTCTCCCTTTCGATTGTTTTTTTCTTCAAATTTTGAGGGTATTCAACTTAGAGCTGCTTTTCCACGAAAGATGAAGCAATTTTATGTCTGGCAGTGGCTGTGGGTTCGGAGGATCACCCAGCAGGTGAAACTGCTGCGGTTTCTGTATCCAACTTTTTCTCCAACGGTATTCATTTTTCTTTGCCTGTTCTCAGTTTTTATTCAGGTGTCTTTAAATATCTGTGTTCGAAAACGAATAACTTTATTTGCTTCCTCTTTTTGTTTCAGTTTTGGATCTTATTTGAAGTTGCTCTTGGCTTGGGCAGCAATTATGACGCTGGACTTCCTCATGGAGTTTCGATTTGAGTACATGTGGCCATGCTGGCTTTTAATGCGAACCATCAATGATTCCTTCAAATATCAGGGCTTGGTAAGTAAACTTTCTTTGATACTCTGCTTTGTAGTACTTTGGGCTTTGTGTGGGGTACTTGCCCTGTTCTGTCTTACCAGCCTTCCTACTTGCTCACACTTAGCGAAAGTATGGGCGGCCGTTAAATGTTCAAGACTGCAGTAATCCCGCAATGTGTTCGCAAAAGCAGTGTAGGATGTTTGCCCCTTTGTGCCATCTGTTCACCCTGCTTACTAACAAGAATAAAATATCCTCTTCGTACCAATAGTGTGTGGGTGGTCTCAGAGTTGGACTTGATGTCTTGAAAAGATGATAATTAATTCAAGAATTCATCGGTGGCCTCCTTTGACATTCAGCTCTAGCCTTTCTTCAAAACTGTTTTAGGCTCTACGGGCATGCATGAAGTCACTTTAGTCAGTTGTTTAGACTATATAAAAGTAGCTACAGTTTGCCAATACAAGCGGACATGTGAGTCCCAGCGATCGAGTCGTCTTCTTCTTAGCTACAGTTTCTCCCATACCGTTGCCAATTTA